ACTCCCATTTCCCCATCACAGCAACTCTGATCCAAATATCTCTGCAGCAGACCACCCAAACTTGTAATGTTAAGATGCTGTGAGACTGAATCAGATCTTCCAAGTAATAAAATATGTCATTTTGGCTGTCACTCTCTTAGATTTTTTGCAACTAAGCCAGCACTTTTAGAGAATTTATTTATTAATTAAAACATTTATACCCCATAATTCCTCATGGTTCTGGGCAGTGAATGTCTTTGTTGTTGTTGTTGTTCAGTCGCACAGTCAAGTCCGACTCTTCGCGACCCCATGGACCAGCTCCGGCCAGGCCCTCCTATCTTCCGCCGTCCTCTGAAGTTGGCTCAATTTTATGTTTGTTGCATCTATGACACTGTCTAACCATCTCATCCTTTGCCGTCCCTGTCTTTTTTGACCTTCAATCTTTCCCAGCATCAGGGTCTTCTCCAGTGAGTGCTCCCTTCTCATTTGGTGGCCAAACCTCTGAAGTTGGCTCAATTTCCTGTTCGTTGCATCTATGACACTGTCTAACCATCTCATCCTTTGCTGTCCCCTTCTTCTTTGACCTTCAATCTTTCCCAGCATCAGGGTCTTCTCCAGTGAGTGCTCCCTTCTCATTTGGTGGCCAAAGTATTTGAGCTTCAGTTTCATTATCTGGCCTTCCAGGGAACAGTCAGGGTTGATTTCTTTTAGGATTGACTGATTTGATCTTCTTGCAGTCCAAGGGACTCTCAAGAGTTTTCTCCAGCACCATAGTTCAAAAGAATCTATTCTTCGGCGCTCAGCCTTCCTTATAGTCCAACTCTCGCAGCCATGCATGACTACTGGGAATACCATTGCTTTGACCATGCGGACTTTTGTTTGCAGGGTGATGTCTCTACTGTCCCTACTTTTTATTATGCTGTTTAGGTTCACCATCACTTTAACTAATAGTTATTTTTTTGTATTTTCAGCTCTTGCTAGAATGTAAATAGGTATCCTACTTTCCCTTCTACTTTGCCATGGTCCAGCGTTCTCCCTTTGCATTTTTCAAACAGTGTAGTTCCTTCTGCCTTAGTCTCGCATGCTTAATCTCTCTTATTGTTCTGCTTTTCCAACATATGTAGAATATGGAATATGAGATTTTCATATTCTAAGATCCCAGAGTCAAGATTCTGCCAAACACAACACATGCTAATAAATGACTAGGGAGCCTTAAAATCTTATGCAGTTTTTGTTTTCTTTATTAGGCAAAGCTGAATGGTAGTAATAAATCTTACATCTTTATGCCATGGTTTTCAAAATCTCAATAGGTTTGACTTTTTGTCCACTGAAGTCTATACAACTGCAATACACAACAATAACACTTTGCCACTAAAGCCAGCTTTATTTAAAATTCAGAACCACCAAGCATATTCCCACCCTCATGCAGTTTATCACATCCTCCGTTTTGATATCCAATATTTGCTATGCATTATAAATTAGATGAAGCATTTGGTACATCAGGTAAAAAAAAAACCTCACAAAATTTTCTTCTCTACACGAACACTTGTAATTTATCACAGGAAACAGATGAACCAAATGCAGACTCTTGAAGAAATGTAATGTTGCAAAGCAGATACTATCAGGAGCTGCTTATCTTCGTAGTAAACATTAGCCTTATGCGAATTCACTTAATTAAGAAGCTGCAAAGATAGGAAAAAAAATAGGATTAAAAACTGTGCACGTTTAGCTTTTGCTTCACTCCTGTTTTGAAAGATTAAGGTGTGCAACTTATTATTTGTAATAACTAGTGGAGTGCTTGACCTGAAACAATATTTCTTGTTGAAAGGATCCCAGTTGAGTGCTTTTAAGCACTTAAAAGGGATGCTCACCCCCACAATAAACACACAAATACTAGCCTTGATAAGGCAGTACCTGGCAACTGGCACGAGGGCTGTGGATGGTGATACTGGGTGCACGAAGTGACACATGTAGCTCTAGGAATCACTAGAAACTCCGTGGTTTTACCAAAGATTCCCAGTGATTTCCAGAGTTACCATATGTCACTTCTATTTTTTAACCAGCAGTGATGTGGCACTACAGCTGGCATTGCTTTTTAATCCCACTGCTGCTCAGAGTGGAGGTGGGCAACAGGAGCAGAGTAAAGAATCCACCACCCCAACAGGACCACTAATATATACATATCCATGTCAGAAATGGGTGTAAACTCTATTGACAGCTCCCCACCTTCCGAGTAACAACTGTTTACCTCTGTGAAGACTTGCAAAACCACTGACAGGTCTTTTCAGGGCCTGTCCTTCTTGAAGGTATGCAATTTCCAGCTTCTTTGGCTTTAAATTCCTGCTGGGGGGGGGATAGGAATTTTCATTTTCTCCGCCTCCTAGTGCAATTCAGAAGGCTGAGAAAAACGACAACTCCCATCATTCCCAGCAAGAAACAACAGCAAGGGAAGATGCAAACTGTGCAATTGCGAGGAGACACCCCAAAGAGGCTTTTCTGGTTTTACACGAATCTTCTCTACTGCTGGCCACTACCCCCTTACAAGTAAGTAAATGAGTAAATAAGTAAAGTAAGTCAGTCAGTAAGTAAAGGCTTATTGCTCTGGAAGTGAAGGAATGGCAAGTGCTGGCTGCTTAGCATTTGGGTGGTAGAAGATAAGACTAATTTTGAGCTAGGCATGGAGTGAGAGGGGTCTGGGCTCCACGTGAGAGTTTTTGAACTGCAAGGTTCACGAGTCTCATCAATCTGATATTTGTCAGCTTCGTTACTAATATCCAATAAAACCAAAGCAAACATACTGTAAAAGAATTAAAATTTTAGTACTACTGGATTCCTATATATGAGAGATAAAAAAGAAAAAAAAGACTGAATATAGGAAAATAAAATAGAAGGAAACGGAAAATGAGAAAAAGCAAAGTGTAGCAGCAGAAGCTTTCAGTTAAAACAGGGAGCCACTGCTCAAAGAGAGAATTGAGAGAGCAAGAAAATCTTGCCACATAAATGTGAAGGTGTCAGCATTCTGTCAATTATATGTGATATCTTTCCAGAATATCACTAACCTGGAGGTCCACCAAGAATTTTTTTTTGCAAATTTCAGTATTGCACTTCATATGCCAATTAGGTACCCTGCGACAGTTGTGAATTCTTCTTCCTTAGCTTTATTAATTTGAATATCAAAGATCAGTTTCTGTGAACTATACAATAAATAACCCCATTTTTTTGAAGTTTTTCAGCAGAACCCATATTAGTTGAGAAGAGTCTAACAGGCGGAGGGGTTGCATCTGGGAACTTTTGTTGTCTTTGATCTGGCTATAGGATGCTGTAGGTGCTGTTACAGGTAGGCCCCAGCATTTTAAGGGTGAGAGCACACCCAGAAGTGACGCGCTACGTCGATCACGTTGGGGGCATGGCCCCCCTCGTTGGGGGCGGAGTTCCCCCCAGGGCCCGATTCCACCCCCCCCACAACGGGGAGAGAGAGAGAGAGAGAGAGAGAGAGAGAGAGAGAGAGAGAGAGAGAGAGAGAGAGAGAACAACATAGGGATGCCAACCTCCAGGTGGGATCGGGGGAACCCCCGGAATTACAGTTTATCTCCAGATAAAAGAGATCAGTTTCTCTGGAGAAAGTGGATGCTTTGGAGGGTGGATTCTATGGCACAGTACTCTGCTGAGGTCCCTGTCCTCCCCAGGCTCCATCCCTAAACCTCTAGGAATTTCCAAACCTGGATATGGCAACCCTACCCTCTCATCACCCACCAGTGGCCAAGGGGGACCTAGCAACCTTAAAACTACACCAGTTACTTACCTGGAAGCCAGTAGCCATACTGACAGAGAACAATACCTGATGGGCATCTGCAACCTCAGCACATCATGACTGCGCTCCTGGATTGCTATAAGCCTTTTTGTGGCCATTAGAATACTGGTTGTTGGGTACTGGGGAGGATTATTAGTAACAGTTGGGAGAAATCTTTATCTGGAAAAGGATGTCTAAGGAATACACTATTCCAGTGCAAATGGGACCTGGTAGGTATGGGGGTGTGATTGATCACAGTTGGCCAGTCTTTGGCAAGGATGCTTATCTCTGTAGCATCCTGAGAGTTGATGAAACAAGAGCCTCTATTTCCCCCATGTCTACACTAATTTTGTGCACAATCGAATCAGTGAAGCACAAAACTGCAGACCTCCATGGGATGTTGCAGGAAGAAGACATTGACCTGGCTTGCATAACAAAAACATGGCTGGAAGAAAATGATGTGGTTTGACTGTCCCAGCTAACACCCCCTGATTACATGGTTTTCCACTAACCCCACACAACTAGCTGGGGAGAAGGCATGGCTATTATCCTCCATTAATCCTTAAACTTCTACAGACTTCCAGTGCAAACTACCACTGGCGCTGACTGTATACTCCTTACATTAGGGACTAAGGATAGATTAGGCATTCTACTTGTCTACGGGCCACCTAGTTCCCCAGTGGGCCCCCTATTTGAGTTGACAGAGGCAGATCATTCCGGGGTACTTTAGCATTCATGCAGGACCACCCTGGGATTTTAGAGCTTCTTTGACTGCTTTGGGTCTCCCCTTAATTGTGACTGGCCCAACATCTAAAAGAGGTCACACCCTGGATTTAATTTTTTGCACTGACCTTTTGAGGGAAGCTTTGGTTTCAGGGCTGGAGATTCTGACCACTCTCTACTTTATGCCAACATGTGTGTGGCCCCAACACCTTGCAAGAGAGGAGGCCGGGTTAAAATGGTCCACCTGCAGAGGCTCATGAATCCTATTGGATTTCAGAATGCTCTGTGAGATTTTAGGATTCCAAACATGTGTTCTGTAGAGGCCACAGTGGAAATGTGGAACATGAAGCGCCTTGAAGATATCAACAAGGGTGCCACTTGCCAGCCTCTCCCGCCCTTGGGATGAAACCCAGTCCCCTGATTTACCATGGAGCTGATCTGAAAGCAGCTGGGAAATGGCTAGAACGGTGCTGGAAGAGAACTCATTCTGAATCTGACATATTGCACTACAGAGGTCAGGAAAGCTCGTGGTCTCCTGCCCTTCTGCAAACTATGCAAAACCAAACTATTCAGGAGGGCTTTTCTGTGCCAGTAAGAGGGTGGCATTGTACAAAATGGTTCACAAACTTACCTGGATAAATTATTGGGGCTGTGGCCTATACTGCTGTGTATAGCTAGCGGGGTAGGGCAGGGTATAAATTTAATAAATAAATTAAATAAATAAAAAATGGTAGTAGGATCCTATTCTGTAATCTCCGTACTGCTTAATGTGTCATATTAATAGTTATGCTATGTGCCTGTTCCTTCTAGTGGTTCCAGACTTCTAAAATCCTAGTGCATTGGTTACTGAATGTTGACCGCACTGACTCCTTATGTGTAATCCACCTTCAGTCCCTGCGAGAAAGGCAGATTGTGAATAACAAATAGTTTCCTCAGAAGTAATGGCTCATTGCTTACTCCTTTGTAAGCGCTACAGGACTCTGGCTATAATCTAATTATTCCCACAAGATTGCTGGAGAGGGTTCCCTGCAACTGGAAACATGCTATTTACACAGACGAAGAAGAAGAAAAAGAAGGAGGGGGAGGAGGAGGAGATTGGATTTATAACTTGCCCTTCACTCGGAGTCTCAGAGCAGCTTACAAATTCCTTTCCCTTCCCCTCCCCACAACAGACACCCTCTGAGGTAGGGGATGGCTGAGAGAGCTCTGACAGAAACTGCTCTTTTCAGGAACACCTCTGTCAGAACTATGGCTTGCCCAAGGTCATCCAGCAGCTGCGAGTGTAGGAGTGGGGAATCAAACCCGGTTCTCCCAGATTAGTCTGCGTATTTAACCACTACACCAAACTGGGTTATGTCTATTGGGAGAAAGATAGGGGCGAATGGATTTCTAAGGTTTGTTTAGGTGATCCATATTCCACTCTGATTTTATTGAACCTTTCTACAGTCATTTCAAAATCTGTACATTGCAGTTCCTTTCACTTTCTCAAATTTACTTTACTTGAATATGTATCTCCTGTACATCAATGCAATTAATGCTTGAAAAAGCCAGTCTGGGTTTCTTAATTTCGCTCCAGCCTACATAAGGAGATCCACCTAAGAGTGGCTATGGAAAGCTGGCTGTTCTCACCTCCAGTGAAACACACCAGACCATTCAAGGTGATTTGCACATCTGTAAACTTGTACAAAGAAAGTGGCTCAAGGAAATATACCATTTGTGTGTGTGTGTGTGTGTGTGTGTGAGGAATTCCAAAGCCTTGGCCCCACTGGTGGACTTCCTGACGGCACTGGTATTTCTGGCCACTGTGTGATACAGAGTGTTGGGCTGGATGGGCCTTGGGCTTGATCCAACATTGGCGTCTCCTATGTTCTTTAAAGCCACCCTCCCTTTTACTTAATCATGTGATTGGAAATACGGTAAATTAGCGGCAAGCTCTGCTTAATGGAAGTTATCAGGTAGGCATTGTTCAGCATTTTAACGGACTTCACTTAAAACAAAGCCTCCAGCTGATTTATCAGGTACTGATAATTTATCAGGTAATACTGATGCAATCCTGCAGTTAAAGTTAACTGCTGGTTTTAATGGGCACAATCATTTGTGCACATGGCTTAGCAGCAAGGGGGGAAGTGAACAAGGGGGCAGAGACTGAAAGGGGTGGCGAAAGCAAAC